TTTCCCTCCCCCACCCCCGTTTTTGATCCCATTCCCCACTCCGCCCCCACAGAATGTCTCTGGTATATGGTTGTTCATTATTTTTGTATTTTCTCGCCTGGTCCATTATACTCCTGCTAGCAGAGCTATTTTTAAAACGTATCGGACAGAACCCACATAGGCACCCACAACAAGGGAGTGGTGGAACAGGGACATGGTCTTAAGTGAGAAACAAGGTCTTCAGCGAATTGGCAATCTAGAGGGTTTCAGAAAACTGTCAACGGTGCTTACTGACACTATTCTGTTAGGTCTTCTAGTTCTGTGAGAGTAGAGGGAAAGGTGTTGTGGACCTATCCTCAGAGCATATGGAATAATCAGGATGGAGGGAGGCCTGTGGGTATAGTCCCAGACATCCAGACCAAGGTTTTCTGAGAGGTGAACGACTTGTTATCTACTTTGAACATCTCTTGCTCCACATCATGTAGTAGTTAACTGTGTACCTACCCCATCACAGTAAAAAGGAAAATCAAGAGATACTGTAAAAAGAAAATAAATGAAAAAGGACTCCTTTTTTAAAGTTAAAATGACAATGACCAAAAAACTCAAAACCAAAACTTCATTAACAATCATTCCTCTGGGTAAAGGGAATTCAGAAGGGGACAGATTTTACCTTTATTTTTCTGTATTGTTTGAACTATTTTCCACCATAGGTATATACATTGCTTTTATAACATAAAACAGTTATGCTTTATATATAAACAGTTTTATAGATACCAGTCTTACAGATAACTGTTGGAAGTAACAGTTTTATATTGAAGACCAAGAAGAGTGTGACTCAGTTTAGCCGCAAGAAGGGAAGGAGGATGTTGGAAAATACTGTTTCCACTCTGAGGTCTGCCCTGGAAGGGAAGAAAGTCTCCAAAGTAAAGCAAAATTGAAGGAGTCCCAAAGCCTGGCCGCAGCAAGAAGCCCGGCCATGGGGGAACAAAACCCAACTGGTGGGGTGCTTGTTCTGCCCCACAGCTAGGGGGTGAGACGTGGTGGCCAGGACAGGTGAAGGGCGGCTCTCCCTGGCCTCTGTCATGGGAATGGCCCAGGCTATCAGTGATGTCAGCACAACACTCGCCAGGGCTCAAAGTTGATGCAGAGCAGTCACCCTACAGGGGAATGAAATAACCTTTACATCCCGAGACTGGGCCGAGGGCAAAAGGAGAGCCTGTGACCAGAACAGAAGTCCCCTCCTCCCTCATCTGAAACCTTACCAAGGTTTCAGTTACGCACAGTGTTTAACCACATTATTAAAGTACTGTGTACAAAGAGATATTCAGAGAGGGAAAGCCACCAACTTTTATAGTACCATTGTTTTAGTCTGTTAGTTATTATTAATTCTTACTGTGCCCAATTTATAAATTCAACTTTATCACAGTTGTGTATGCTTAAGAAAAACAGCCTAATATAGGGCTCAGTACAATCGCTGTATCCACTGGTGAGGGGGCAATTCTTGGAAAAGATCCTCCAGAAAAAGGGGAGCTATTGTACTCAATATGACGCAAAGCATTTTACTCTTTGAGAATCAGGAGGATTTTTTTTTTTAAAGATTTATTCATATAGAACTGGGGTACAGGCCAGAGATGCGGAGGGTGAGAGGATTCACCAGAGACAGAGTGGGGAGCAGAACAGGCAGATGGACGAAGTACACTGCTGAGGGGAGCAGTGGGCGAGGCAGGAAAGGTCTGTCTCGCCAGGTGGATCTCCTCTGGGGCAGGCGGGAATCGAACTCATGTGGAAGTGTCTTAAGCTTCTCAATGCTGTGCTTTAACCCGCTGCGCCATCAGGGAGGGCCGAGAATCAGGAGGATTTTTATCCATGAGAGGTGGGGATGGACTACAAAGTTCTTTCAGAGGGGAATAATCTTGAATAAATTAAACCGTATCTAAAACTAGGAAAGACCTTTGGGAAGCAGATGTGAGGGATCCCCCATCTGAAGCAAGGGTGAGTTATATATATATATGTATATGTATATGTATATGTATATGTATATATATATATATATATATATATATATATATATATGTATATGTATATGTATATGTATATATGTATCATTGTTCTAAATATATGTAGATATATATATATATATGTATATATGTATCATTGTTCTAAATATATGTAGAGATATATATTTATACATACAATGATTTCATGACCCATCATTTTAATCCCAGTAAATTATTCCAAAATTGATCTCACCGATTCTGAAAGGATTTTCCAGCAATATTGTCTCTGTAGGAGTCAAACAAAACGTGGTATTGATCCCGGCTCCATTCCAGAACCACCTAGAGATAAAGAAAAAGAAAAACTGATTTTTTGCATCAAAGCCTATATGTATGAGGGCCTCCCCAGTAGTAGAAGGGGTTAAGTCTCAGCACTATGAAGCTACCACCAGCCATTGCAGAACGAGTTCAATCCCTGGCCAGGGACAGACCCACATGGTGCAGCAGACTTCTCCTCTCTGGCCCACAGCTCCCTCAGCAGTGTATTTTAGCAGATTTACCTATTCTGCTCCCCACTGCCTCTGGTGAATTCTCTCACCCGCTTCCCGCCACTCTGTCCCCTCCCCACACCATTTTTATATGCATAAATAAATCTTTAAAAAAAAACTAAATGTGTATGACTTTCATTTCATGAAAAACTGTCAACAGAACAGGCAAAGCAATCAAAATTCACCCATTCACTGGGATCAAAAATGGTTGGGGGAGAGAAGCACACTGGACTATGGTGATGAGAAGCCCATGGGGATTACAAGTGAGATGGAAAAAGGCACAAAATGATATAAAAATAAACTATTATTTCATTAAAAAAATATTCACCCATTCACGTGGCACCTGCCATATACCTGAGTGTGCTCCTGGTGCTCAATGAAGAGAAAAGGCTACTCATCAGCGTCAGACAAAGCCATGGAAATAAGAGCTACAGTTCCTGGCTTGGGGCGGGGAAGAGCACAGTGAAGCAAAGAGATCCGAAAAAGCTGTGACACGAGAAGCGGAGGCTAGAAAACAAGCTTGCAGGTAAGGAGAAAGGGACAGCACCCAGAGCGCCCTCAGAGGCTGCTGAGAGCAGCAAGGGCAAGCTGCTTGGGGACAAGTGTCCAGCAGGTTTTGCTGCAGCGCCACTATGCAAAGTGGGCTCATAATGGAAGCGGGGCCGGATTATGACAAGACTTGTAGGCCATGGGCCGTGGCGGCAACAAAGAGCACTGACACGGCTGTATGATCCATCCAGAATGTGGAAAAGACTTTGCACGACACAGAAGAACACAGGTAGTACAGAAGAAACCAACCAGATACAGGGGGTGGAGAGCGTATTACCTACAAGTCATAGGTAACGTTGATGACCTTGCTAAATGTTTCAGGAGAAAAATGGGAGGCTTCAGATAGGTGCCCATGGAGTCTGCATCCCCAATGATAAACCCGTGTGCCCCGTTTCTCTTTCCACCCTCTTCCCCACAAAGCACCCCTCCTCCTTGCCAAGACCCAGTCTCTGTCCATTTGCTCTGTGAATCATCAGCTCTCACATACCAACCTTGCCTACTCTTTTTACTCAACAGAATTCTGCCGTGAGCACACACACACAATCTCACTACTCCAAATTCTCTTCCACAGTCACGTTCTTTAAGGGTCTACTACCCCCCGCCCACCCACGCTCTCACCACGTCAGAGGCCCTACCAAGACATCCACGTTCGAGCCACAGAGGTTTGTCCAATCTGCATCTGACTCCACTGGCGGCAGTTGCCCCCGCCTCCATATTCAACCACTTTCTCGGGGGTCCTAGCACATCACTCTGGCGGCCCCTGTGCCAGCTCGTCCTCTGTCTGCCCTGCACATGTCCTTTCACTCTACCCCTCTACCTGGAATACCTTCCTTCCTACCTAGGCTCCTTGGGCTTCCTAGCCCACCAACCCCAGGGTATGGCCCAGGAAGTGGCCCAGCTATTGCCAGAGGGCTGAGGGAGCCCAGTCACTGAAATTTCACGCCAGCCAACGCAACGGCTGAGAAGGGGGAACACAAGTCCCTTTATTTATTAAAGGGTACAGACCAGAGGTGCCGGGGCGGTGAGAGGAGTCACAGAGGCAGAGTCGGGGTCAGAAGTACACTGCTGAGGGGAGCAGCAGGCGGATCAGGAGAGGCCTGCCTCACCATGTGGGTCACCTCTGGGGCAGGTATCAAACTCATAGTGAAGCAGCTGTGCAGTGCTGTGTCCTAACCGGTTGCACCACCAGGGAGGGCACAGACGAGTCCCTTTAAGGAGACTTCTTGGAAACAGCACCCACCAGCTATGTTTTCATTGGTCAGAACTCAGTTGTGAGACATCTGGCTCCAGAGGAGGCCTGGCGGACCAAACTGTCCAGTTGTTACTGCTTGTGTCTTTTCATGGGGCTCAGGCTTTTTGAGATCTGGCTTCTTCACATCCTCACTTAATTAGAAAGCTTTAAAAATACCATAAACTAAACTAGTAATCCTCTCAATGTTTTTTTAAAAAATTATTTATTTATGCATACAAGAACTGGGGAACACGCGAGTGATGTGGGGCATGAAAGGATTCACCAGAGACAGAGTGGGGAGCAGAACAGGCAATACACTGCTGAGGGGAACAGCAGGTGAGACAGGTGAGGTCTGCTACACATGTGGGTCAGCTCCCTGGCCCTTCAGTGGCTGCAAATAGCTTCATGGTGCTGCATTAACACCCTGCACCACTAGGGAGGCCCCCTCAGTGTTTTTATTTAAAACTGAGATCCTGATGTGCCTGGCACTGGGTTTACAAAGAAAAATAAGCTAAGTTCCCTGACTTCAAGGACTATAGCCTGGCATTTGAATAACAGAGAAGCTGATTGCTGGTGCTAGCCCCAGTGAAGAAGGGAGTATCTGACTCATTCTTAGAACAACCGCAAGGACTTCCAGAGGTGCAATGCTGCAGAGCTTAGTGGTGAACAGCCTGCTGGCAGCTCATGGAGCAGAGTGTGTGTCAGGGGCACCAGCTCTCAGACTGGCTGGGGAGTGAAAGAGAGGGAAAGCATCAAAGAGACTGCTTGCTCTGTTTTCAGTATTTCTAGTATGTGTGACTGCCTCGGCCAGGGGGCACTTAATGATACAGGAGGAATGGGTGTCGTGGGGCTGAGAACTGGTGGGGTTCACTTTAGTCCTGGTACATATAGCTGTTCTAAGTGCACACAATAAATTGGCCTCTAACCCGACGGCAACTCCTACATGGATTTGGCATTACACATAGCACCAAACCCAACGCCAGGCACAGAACTATAAATTGTCGGTTACTTTGCAAAATATAGAATGTTTATCTATTTTCCATAGTACAACTGTATTGACTTGTATCAGCTTATTGGATCAAACAGAAGCGATACCCATCAATATCCCTGTGTAGTTCACAAAGGACATCCAGTTATCTATTCAATTTTGTAATACAAACCATAAAAAGTCAAGTTCAATAAAAATGTTCTTAGCTAGTAAGGCTGCCCAGAAGTGGGGAGAAAACATCAGAGAAGACACTCTCCACTAGTGTCTGAGAGATGCTGACGTTCCTTCCTTCCTTCATCGGATAACTTCATCTCACCATCTCCAAACCGCTTAGGTGTGCCTGAGAGAGCAGCAGCAGCAGGGACCCTTATCCCACCCTTGGAGGGCATTCCTGCTAAGCTGAGTTCTGCACATTTGATCTGAAGGGACATGTTGGGAATAATGGGTGCTGACTCAGGGACATGGTTTTCACCCCTGTTCTGTCACTTTCAGAAGAGATCTTGAGCAGATTATTTAGTCTCTCTGGTATCATAGGTATCTGTCTTGTTATAGGTCAAATCATCTTGGAAACTCCTTCCAGAGCTCGGGGTATAAGATGACTGTGGGTGTACAGCTTTGGGGCTCACCAGGGGACTGGCCTGGTTTCCACCCTGTACGCACCTGCCAACCCCACAAGAACCCTGTGTGTCTTCCCATCCTCAGCCTCCCGTGGACCCTTGGGACCTGATCCTGACCCCATCAACTGCCACTTCACAGTGGTGAGCACACTTAAAACATTACACTGGTAACAGCACCAGGCTCATTCTTAGGAGAGGGCACACGAACTCCTCCCCTCTATACCATTCTCGAGAATTTATTTTTCTCTGCTGTGAGGACAGCCTCTTGGTAAAACTTGAGAATGCTGGGGATGTAAACTGGTCTAGTGCCCATGGAAAGTAGTGTGGACCTTCCTCAAAAGACTAAGACTGGATCAATCATATGACCCAGCAATTCCATTCATAGGTATCTACCCAAGAACATAAAAACACTGATTTGAAAGGAAACCTATATCCCTATATTTACTACAGCACTATTTACAATAGCTAACATACAGAAACCACCCTAGTGTCCACAAACAGATGCGGTATATACACACAATGGAATACTGTACGCCAATGACTGGTATGTCACTGAAAAAAGTTTTTAATAAAAATTAATTTAAAAGCATTTTATCACCTTTAAAACTCCATTTTAAGAATCACAGAATGCCTGGTAGTCAAGATCAGGTGTCAGGCAGTTTTTACAAAATGGCAGCTGAAGCTTGTCTCTATGGGTTGGACTCTGAAGAGAGGAGGTACATACACACACTCACTAAGCACCATCATGCCAGGGGCTCCTCCCCACTGAATCTCCATGACACGCTACCAACTGTAAGAAAGGTACTATGAAGACCTAATTCCCACGGAGAAGTTGCAGGTGCTGAAGCAGTTGTGTGATGAGGCTGGTCTTTCATGCAACCCAACTCCAGAGCCTGTTTCTCTTCATCAAGCCTCTCTTAGCTTCAACAGACCTCCTCTGAGGCTTATTTGCAGAGTTTCTTTGTCAAGAACACATTTATAAAGTCACACGAATTCTGAAACTTGTATGATTATCAACCTTAATTCAATGACCCAGAACTGTTTTCCTGGCATGTCTACAAATGACCACAACTGTGCTTTTCTCAATCTTTTTAGGATGTCTTAACAGTCTTCTAAATGGTGCACATGAATGTCATGTTTTTAAGGATGATAAAATCTTTAAAGTTATAAAACCTGCACATGCTTGGGTTGACCTCAGAACAGGGTCAAAAGCACAATTGTGTTAGAATAAGATGAGCCCAAACTCCTTTGTATGAGGAGGATCCCCAGTTTAGGAAAGGAAGAGAGGTAATTATTAGAAGAACTAGTATCGTGCAAAGAGAAGGTTTACTATCAGAAATATGAGTTTCAACCTGGCACTTATCAATAATGAAATCTAGGGCACTTCTCTATTCCTTATTTCTTCTTTT